TGTCTGTTTGTCTGTTTGTCTGTTTGTCTGTTTGTCTGTTTGTCTGTTTGTCTGTTTGTCTGTTTGTCTGTTTGTCTGTTTGTCTGTTTGTCTGTTTGTCTGTTTGTCTGTTTGTCTGTTTGTCTGTTTGTCTGTTTGTCTGTTTGTCTGTTTGTCTGTTTGTCTGTTTGTCTGTTTGTCTGTTTGTCTGTTTGTCCGTTTGTCTGTTTGTCTGTTTGTCTGTTTGTCTGTTTGTCTGGTGTCACCTATAGACTCGAAAACGGCTGAACCGATCGTCGTGAAAATTTAGGAGCGTGTTCTGGGCGATCCAGCGGTGGTTATAGGGGGGTCAGTTCTCCGATGCGATGAGTCCTTCTACCTTAAAAAATTATTTGAGTGTTTTACCCACGAAAATACGAAATCTCGGAAAAAAATTGAAAAATCCGAAATTCGCAAAATTCACGAACGCCTGAACCGATCGCCGTGAAAATTCAGGGGTGGGTTCTCGGGAGTTGTAGAAAAGCGATGAGGGGGTCGTCGTGCCCGTATGATGAGGGTGAGCTCTTTTTCCCTTGGAAATTGAGTACCGGGTCCCTCACCGGAAATCGTTCGGCGGGAGTTTCCAGAGTTCTCCAGAATTTTCGTGATTTCTTCGCATCTATATGTATAAAAACGTATGTCTGTCTGTTTGTCTGTTTGTCTGTTTGTCTGTTTGTCTGTTTGTCTGTTTGTCTGTTTGTCTGTTTGTCTGTTTGTCTGTTTGTCTGTTTGTCTGTTTGTCTGTTTGTCTGTTTGTCTGTTTGTCTGTTTGTCTGTTTGTCTGTTTGTCTGTTTGTCTGTTTGTCTGTTTGTCTGTTTGTCTGTTTGTCTGTTTGTCTGTTTGTCTGTTTGTCTGTTTGTCTGTTTGTCTGTTTGTCTGTTTGTCTGTTTGTCTGTTTGTCTGTTTGTCTGTTTTGGAGGATTCAGTCCGCGATTCCGCTCAGCGCAAAGCTCAGAAAATCCGATTCTTACGATAACTCCGATGATTGACCGGAACAGCGCTCGAAAAATCAATTGACACACTTGTGTATGTGAGAGTGGAGGTGCTTCATTTTTTACATTGTACTGAACGAAATGAGAGTTGTGGAACGCTTCAATAAACCTTCACCTCATTCGCTCCTTGATACTCCGACGAGAGATATCATATAGTAGAACAAAAAAAGGTCGAAAAGCGACCACAAAAAGCAGAGAATGAAGGGGGCGGCGCGAGCAGCTTCCGCCCCGGGCGGCGGAAAGTCTTGCTACGCCACTGGGTGGATGCTGTCGGCATTATGGATTACACGGAAGGCCAATGTGTCACGGTAACGAATCTACAAGTCAAAGAGCTCTCCGGAAAAAAAATCCTGAATTCTTCGTCGAGCACAGTCGTCGACCGCAAGTTTTCAAATGAAGATACGGAACATCTCAAAGTTTGGTTGATCAGTCTATCATGCCACAGAGAGGTCAGTGGAAGTTCATCGTGCAACCGAAGTTGTTAACGACACTCGAACTAGGATCCATCGGGGAAACCGTTAAAGGCCAAGTGCAGTCGAAGACCGGAATCCGGGATTGCAAGAAAAAAACGAAAAGGTTATAAAAAAAGCCACCATCCATTCGTTCATCTTGGCCACCACAACCTTCTAGTATGGCGATGTTTCTGCGGAACCATTTCGAGAAGATACGGTAAAAACTGACCTCCTATGAATAGAGGACACAAGGTTGAGGACTCTCGATGATGACGACTGACCGATCACGATCACATCGAACCGATTCAAATCGGATAGCCGGGCAAGGAAGACCTGAAGTCCATGATCAGCATGTCGGAGCAAAGTCCGGCACGAGAGAAGGGGATATCCAGAGTAAGGCTGCCGAAAACTTGATCATTCTATAGATAACCGAGAGGTCAATAAAAGTTCAACAGTTGATCAAGATTATCACCGTTCTCGAAATACGCGACGCGGAAAGTAATAAAATGATAGGAGATATCGGAAAAAAAATCTTATGTTTCACGATAGTACTCCTAGGAAGAAGCAAAACGCAAAGCTGATTGACGACATTCTCAGAATCATAAATCTTTACCTCTGGGTGAATACTGTTGGCGTATATAATAATAATAACATTAATAAAATGATTACACAATAACTTCTGACGTTTTCACGCAACTATGCGGTAGTAGCTCGCTACTACCTTCGGCTTTTTTTTCACCATCTCGCTAATTCTTGTCCGCTAAACAGGGGATATCGGTCCGATGGTTTTTTTTCGGAGCGGGCAGGTCCTCCCGGTTATTTTACCGCAATCAGGACCTCGCTAGCCCTCTTGGTTCGGATTTTATAGGCAAAACAAAATGGGGAAGTTATAATGCCCCACCCTGTACGAAGCTCAACTCGACAGTCTTCAAAGATCGGAACAAACTTCGAACGAGGAGAATACATGGTGGCAAGAATTGCTCATCGCAAGGAGCAAGAAAAGCGTCGAATTCAAACTCGACACGGGAGCAACTATCTTGCGCATATACGAAAACATCAAACAGCAACATCGGCTGCCAGCCACCACGGAAATAATCATCTCGTATCCATCGCACAAAATTCCAGTAGAGGGATTTTCCGACATAAGCGTCACTATACCTGGAAACTCGGGGACGCATATCGTTCGGTTCTACATTGTACGAACCACAGCTCCTCCAATTCTAGGCTTACAGGACGCGAGAAAACTACACCTCATCGAACGAACATCACCCACAAGAGCCGAGATTCACGAAATGCAAGCAGCCGATATGATTGACGAGTTCAAGCAAGTTTTCGACGGAACGATCGGCGAACTTCCCGGCATTCAACAAATACGCCTGCGCTCGCCAAATCCGCCAGAAAAGACATTCCCTCCGCGACGTGTCCCCTTGCGATTCCAAAAAGCAACAAAAGAGAAGCTCGATCAAATGGTGACAAAAAGCATCATACGCCAGGTACGAAGACCCGCCCGCTACGTGAACCCGATAGTTGCGGTTCGTAAAGCGGACGGCGACCTGCGCCTGTGTCTAGATACCCCTTACCTAAATGATCATATACAGCGTCGCAGCTTCCCGATGCCCAAGGCAGAAGAGTTATTCGCTTCCCTGAACGGCGCCCAGATCTTCACCGTGGTCGACGCAGACAGTGCGCTCTGGCACCTCGAACTGGACGAGAAATCCAAAGAACTCTGCATCTTCTCTACACAGAGGGGCAACTTCCAATACGAACGCCTGCCATTCGGTATTGTGGATGCATCAGAGAGATTTTGCGAGACCATACACACGCACTTCGCGGATCTTGACGGAATCATCAACTCAGTGGACGACTTCCTGATCCATGGTCGGACTCAGGAAGAACACGACCACCGGCTGAGATGTTTCCTACAACAATGCCACGAAAAAGGCCTCAAGTTAAAAAAGTCCAAGCTCCAACTGGCCCGCAGGTCAATGAAATTCCTCGGGCACATAATTGGACAAACGGGATTGCCGTTCCCCCGAGCAGAGTCGAATCCATCCTTGCTATGAAAGCCCCAAAAACATCGGGGGAGGTGAAAACTTTCCTAGGGATGGTAAACTACGTTGCCAAGTTCGTTCCCCACTGCGCAGATCGAACGACTCCTTTGAGGAAATTAACTCGCATCAACGAAACCTTCAAATGGGGTCCCGTGGAAGATAGCGCCTTCCATGATTTGAAGACAGCCATTGCCAACGCCCCACAGTTAAGCGTAATCAGGGAGGATACCGAAATCACGATCAGCGCTGACGCTAGCTCATACGGCCTAGGAGCAGCTCTCATGCAAAACGGAAAACCGACAGCGTTTGCCTCAACCAACCTCAACGATACTCAGGAACGATACGCACAAATCGAGAAGGAACTCCTTGCAGTCGTCTTCGCTTGTGAACACCTTCGGTTCTAATCGGCTCACACTTTCGAATAGAATCAGACCACCGACCCCTGGTCGCTATCGTCCGGAAAGATATATCCCTTTTGAGTCCCCGCCTCCAAAAACTGATGCTTCGCCTCATGCGATTCAACTACACCATTCGCTACGTTACAGGAAAATATCTGCGGGTTGCAGATGCGCTGTCTCGTTTTCCGAAAACCGACACGACGGCCACTCCGGAAATCAACGACCAAAACTCAGCCGCCATATGCTCAGTGTCCATGACGGACAGCGCCCTGAGGTGCATGCAGGAGGCAACCGACCGCGACGCCGGGACAAGAATGGCGATCAGATACACAATACAAGGTTGGCCGAAACACAAATCCGGAACTCATCCCAGCGCACGCGCATACTGGCACCTCCAGAACGAGCTACGCAGCGAAGAGAACCTCCTGTAACGTGGATTCAGACTAGTCATCCCAGCCTCAGAGCGGCAGCGAGTCTTGTCCGCCCTCCATGCGGCGCACCTCGGCGTCGAGAAAATGTTACAGAAAGCCCGTTTCTTGGTGTTCTGGCCGTCCATCGGAGCCGACCTCCGCGAGATTCTCGACAAGTGTATCCCTCGTAGATCACGTGATCGAGCGAACACACCACTCCCACTTAAACCAACTGCCGCTCCCCCGCATCCTTGGCATACTGTTGGTCTGGACTTCATACATCACAACAACGACACACATCTGTTCATCATCGACTACTTCAGCAAAGACTTCCTCATAAAAAAAATGACAACAACCACGGCGACGTGTGTCATCAAGGTCCTTGGAGAATGGTGGCTCTTACATTGTTACCCAACAGTCCTAGTCAGTGACAACGGGCCCCCCTACGCCTCCAAGGGATTCGAAGATCAACTCAAAAAATGGGACATCAAGCGACAACCAATATCCCCTGGACATTCTCAGGCAAACGGTATGGTCGAAAGACACACACAAATTATCAAAAGCACCATCGCCAAAGCTCAGATGTCTGGAGCTGACGTCATGGAAGCTCTTCTGACCTTGCGAACGTCTCCGCTCGCGGACGGGTCCTCTCCGGCCCAGATATCCATGGGGAGAACACTCAGAAGCTCGATCCCAACCTCCAATCGCCAGGTAGAAGCCCCAATAAAAAACGTCTGGGAAATTCGAAAGCGAACATTAGGCGATGCCGCAACCATCGCAAGGGCACACTTCGATAAGCGAGCAAGGGAGCTCCCCCCTCTCCAACCGAATCAGAAAGTATGGGTTCAAATCAAAACCAGGCTTTGGAAGAAAGGTACCGTAGGCAGGGTCCTCCACGATCGCGCCTACGAGGTCAAGATGTCCGACGGCGCGATATTCAGACGAAATCGCACCGCGTCAAGACCCGACTTTGCCAACGACGCGCGACCAAACCCTAGTGCTACACCCGAGAATGTAGCCCGCCCGAGAGACCCAATGCTCAGCACTACGATGACCATTCCCGCTGAGGAGCAGCCTAGCAACCCGAAAGCAGCTGAACACGACTCTTCCTACACCAGCACAGATTCGGAATCGGAGCAGTCTTTCAACAGCGCAGCACAAAACTCCAGTGATTCATCGACGGCCACAATCCAAGATCCAGATACCGACTTGGATGCTGCGTCAAACAACGAACCATCCAGAGCACCCGAAAACGCGGCCCAATCAAGATACGGAAGAACATAAAAGAAGCCGAAGAAGTACGAATCGTAATACATCAATAAGGATGAAAGAAAGATGTTACATAGTCATAACCAATAATCGATACAATAATCCAATGCTTCGAATAAACCCGCCACGCCGCTCCTCTCCCATTGCGGAAACAGGACAAGCGCCATCTCGGTGCGCGCCGACCAACCGGAAGGCCGAGACTCGTGACCACAGCGTTAAGTCTTTTCATTCAGTAATCGAGCGAGCCATTCAGCATTTGACACTTTCCACGGCGGCAGGCATCACATGAGGTGAAGTCGTTTGCACATGCAATGTTTAACTGTTTCAGGATCCTTTTGACTTTGTCTATGCCGATACGGGCTAAAGACTCATGTGCTTTCCGAAGGGAGGCTGATCCTTCTAGATCAGTCATGAAGGTCACCGCTGGTTCCGGTTGAGCCTTGAGGTAGTACAGTCCGCGTCGTTCTTCGGCTTTTAGGGACTTTTTACCTTTAGAGAGGGTGAGACCAGTACTAGTTATATTTACCCTGTATTTGTGTAATATCGCGCGTTCCGATATCGAGAGAGGGCGCCACAGCTCCATTGGCCTTTTTTCATTTCGTGGAAGTCCGCGCATTCAGAGCTCGACAGAGACGGGAGTGCTTACGTGAAAATCGATTCTCCGATTCAAGGTAAATTATTTCATTGAACTCCCAAGATTGTTTCTCACGGATGCCCGGAACGGCATAACAGACCCCTGGTTGAGGGCGAGAATGATATAGAAGTTGAATAAATTCTCCGATTTGAGGTTGAATCGATCGTACTCTCCTTGAGATCCAGAAGGAAGAAAGAAGAATTACATTTGTCTTCTGTGAGCTTACAGTGATATCAGCCGCCTTTGCATTGGGGACCAGGAGAACATCTTTCAGGATGATGGTTGATGATTCGTTTCCCTGAGAGACCGTCATCTTGGCAGTGCCGGTGCCTTTGACTTGTAGGGTTCCAGCTCCGCCCTGCTTGACGTTCCGGGTGCCTCTTTCTGGTAAGAAATCGCGGAACCAGACTTTGGAGTCCACAATACTGTGTGTTGCTCCGCGGTCGAGGATCCAGTCGAGTTGTTCTGTTGAGGATGCCAAGTCATGATCTTGCTCCTCGAACTGAACACCGTCGCATTCAGCAGTGTTGGCTGCGGCATTACGAGATTTGTTCCTGCGCCAACATTTTTCAATAGTGTGCCCCGTTCTTTTGCAATATCGGCAAGTATTGGTTACCCTCTTGGGCTCCGAGTTTGTTCTGGAAGAGTTCAATGCGATGAACGCTCCTCTCTGATGTGGACTTCATTCGAGCGATGAGTCTCAGACTGGGTCTGGCGATTGCTGAAGAGGCGACCTGCGTGTGCGGACCCCGATCGACCGACTTGCTCTGCATAGACTCAGTTGCTACAAGCTAGCCACCGGTCGGCTGGCGCGACACGCAGCGATCAACGACCTCCTGACCCGGGGCCTCCGACAGGCGGGTGATCGATGGAGACTTTTTGAAACGGTCTCCTCATTGGCGGAATCGGATTACACAATCCTTCTTTTCTGCCCGACTGTTCCTCGTTATACAAGCAGTCCAAACAAGCGCGGATGTGCGGCTCCGTGTATTTCCTCATACCCTCTAACCAAGAGAACCGTCTCATCAGCTCCAACGTCTTATCCACTTCAAAGTGTCCCGCTTTGTCGTGAACCAACACCAAGGTATATTTCCGAGATAACGCCGGCACTACGAGCTTCAGCTCCTCCCTTTGCCGCGTAGTTTTTCCGCTTTACGATTCCGACTCCGGAACCATCTCTGCGACTTTCTTCACTCCGTGGAGAATTCCATTCTTCTCCTCGAATTCCTGAATCATTCCCTTTTCTCTTGCTGTCCGCTCCTCTTTCACCTTGGCGAAAATTTTCAATCGGTCCGTAATCCATCTATCCGACTCCTGCAATGTCAGCCCCTCTCGCTCTCCTAACACCACAGTAAACACCCTGTTTTCTAATAACTCCGCCGATACATCCATGTCCGGAAACGGCTATGCCTCTTCAAACGGACCCCGACTCAGAGCATCAACATGCTGCATCGATGTTCCAGCTCGGTGTTCCACCACAAACGTGGACTCGGCAACCCGCTCCATTGTTAGGAAATTGCCTTCCATCTATGAACAAAGGCGTTTCCGTTACTGTCTTAAAAGTTTTCAGAAGTCAGTGTTTGTGACACTTCAGTATACGAGCCAAAAACTCTGATCGATTGTCACAGAAAAAGGCTGATCACCTTTTTCTGGGAAACTCCTTTTTTTTCACTGTACTGGCCTATGGAGTCCAGACGATGTATAAGCAGCATTCAGATGAACATCAAACACAGATCCTTCTGTCACACGCATCCCTTGCGTCCTCATTCCTGAGTATCTTCCCTGCCAGCCCTCGACCCTCGGAGATCATCAGAACATTGTGCCGAAACAAACTCTAAACTGCAAACAGTGGACTCCTGCCGACTGAGTACCCTTCTCAGTGAGCCTATGCTCAGGATCCTCACGGATTCCTAACATCCATCCACCTCCTCATCTGTGGCGATGGTATCCCAGTCCCCGACGTCAATGCTGCCACTGCATTACAATTCGACACGACTTTGAATTTTTCTCCGACCAAGTAATGTCTCAAGCGATCCAGCGCCCATACCATCGTCAACTGTTCCAGTTTTGTCGAGTGGTATTTTTCTTCCGCGTCGTCCAACTTCCTGCTAATCGCGTTAGCCATCTTCAATCTGCCTTCCCCGTCTCTCTGCAGCAATATTGCTCCTGACCCAGAGCAGCTCGCTTCCGAATGAAGTTCGGTCGGTCTTCCCGGAACGAATCTCTCGAGAATCGATTCCTTCACCAGTTCCGCCTTCAGCCTCTCAAACGCCTCTTCACAAGCCTCCGACCATCTGAACTCTGCATCTCTCTTCAACAGCCTGGTCAACGGACCGAAGAACGACGTCAGTCCGAGGAATCTTCTGATCTCATGAGCGCTTCGGAAACTCAGCTACAGCTGCTGTCTTCCTCGTTCCTGGCTGCATCCCGTCCCTCGAGAGTCGAAATCCCAAGAACTCGACTTCCTCTATGAAGAACTTACGCTTCTTCAGTCGTATCGTCAGCCCTGATTCCCTCAATGCCATGAGTATCCTTCGAATCCTCTCCATGTGTTCATCCTCATCTGTCGCCACAGCGATCAAGTCGTCCAAATGCGGAACCGCCTGTCCCTTCCCAATCATGTCCTTAACCTCAACCATCAGCTCCTGGAACTTGCTGGGAGCATTACGTAATCCCATCATCATCACCTTCGGCTGATAATGCCCCGCTGGAGTGACAAACGCTGCCCTTTCGGACGCCTCCTTGGACATGGGAATCTGGAAATATCCCCAAGCAACGGGAACGAATCACGGTAACGGGTGATATAATTTAACCGTCTGCGCGTTAAAACGTCTGTAGTCAATCACCAGCCTCCAAGTACCGTCACTCTTTGTCGCGGTCGGCTTCCCAGCCTAACGCGTAGACTGAAAAACTGCCAATGATATTACAACGATTCTGAGTCAGCATAGCGGATAACTAGATGTAAAGGTTAAAAGTGGCCCTTGCTATAGAGAACTATGTATAAAAGGAGCCACCGATTCCAGAATAAACAAGCACGAGCCAAGTACGAGCTGAGTATTAACCAGGTGAACTCGACGGTGTCTTCCTTGATGTTCCAATACCTACCGCCTTATACCACAACACTCTTCCTAACCAGCAGCACCGGACTCGCACATTGAGAATTCGACTGCTCGATCCTATCTGCCTCCATCAATTGATCAATGATAGCCTGCCCGGCTTCTCTCTCGGCCAACGCTAACCGAATTGGCCTACATCTGACCGGGTTACTTCCTTTGATCTCCTCGATCTCGAAATTAACCAAAGTCGTCCGTCCCAACTCTGCCATTGTCGTCGCCATTACATCTGGAAACTCATCAATCAGATCTGTTAGGTTGATTTGAATCATGACGCCTCGAAATCCATGTAAATAAAACCGCGCAAAGTCAGTCTCGACATTCCGAGATTCACGACAGTCCATGTATTCTCATTTCACGCGCTCCTGTCCGGAATTCCATACAAACCAAACTTAATAACTGGCGACGAGGCTGTTTGACGAACCCGGAGTTATAATTGTGCTACCTCAACGATCTCCAACGTTCTGACGATGTCGAACTCAGTGAATTCTACATTCCAAAGCTTCCCGCCGCGCTCGGAAAAGTTCTCTGCTTGGTTGTGCCGGCTAGGAAACTATCTTCGCTACGAAAAGAAGACTTCCGAAGCTGATAAACAATGCGCGATCCCCGCGTTCATGGGATCAGAAGCTTTTACTCGGTTCTTCGATGAAGTGCGTTCGGTCAAGAAACCCGAGGATCTCACCTTCGCACAGATCACTGAAGTGTTGACGAAGTTCCACGAAAAAGTGCTATCGCTGCGGCAAGCAGAATCATCTCGCACCGGACTGCAAATACAAAAATTCGGAGTGCAGTTCGTGAAAAACCAAGGGTCATCTGGCTGCCGTATGTAGGAAACCCCAAAATCAGAATTTGTTGGTGGAACTCCCTTTTCATTTCGTCGACGAACACCAGAAAGCTCCGATTGAACTCAATGTGCGTATCCATGATCATCCGGTACGCATGGAGCTCGATATAGGTTCCGGCATTTCTACTGAGGAATATTACAAATTCCTGACTATGTTCCCGAATGAAATTCTGCACGAGAATGACGTCAGACTCCGTACAGCGACTCAAGAAGTGTTCGAGCCGAAGAACTACGTGATTGTCACGGTAACATATCAGAATCAGTGCCAGGACATGAGGCTCTACCCCATTGACCGACCAAGTTTCCCTACACTCTTCGGAAGGTCATGGCTTCGTAGACTGAACAGAAATGTCTTCGATATCAACCAGCTCGATCGAGACGACAGAGACTATGTACAAAGAAAACGCCTGTCGAGATTATCAAA